GAGAGATGAGAGGAGAGGGAGAGGAGAGGAAGAAGAGAGAGTGAGATATGGAGAGGGAGAGAGAGAGGAGGAGGGGTGAGAAGAGAGAGATATGGAGAGGAGATGAGAGAGAGAGAGAGGAGTGGAGAGAGAGAGGATATGGACGTAGATGAGAAGAGGGAGAGATATGGAGGAGAGAGAGAGGACGACGAGAGAGAGAGAGATTATGGAGAGAGAGAGAGAGAGAAGATATGAGAGAGAGAGATAGAGAGAGTATGGAGAGACGAGAGAGAAGAGAGAGTATGAGAGAGAGAGATGAGAGAGAGAGAGAGAGGGAGAGAGAGAGAGAGATGAGAGAGAGAGAGAGCAGAGAGAAGAGGATGGAGAGAGAGGAGAGAGAGGGAGAGAGATAAGAGAGAGGAGAGAGAGAGAGAGAAGAGAGAGAGAGAGAAGGAGAGGGATGAGACGTGGGAGAGAGAGAGAGAGAATGGAGAGATAGAGAGGAGAGATGAGAGAGATGAGAGAGAGGAGAGAGAGAGAGAGAGAGAGAGAGAGAGAAGAGAGAGGAGAGGAGAAGAGAGAGACAGAGACGTGGAGAGGAGAGAGGACAGAGACCCGAGAAGGAGGAGCACGTGGAGAGAGAGAGAGAGATTGTGAGAGAGAGAGAGAGAGATGGGGAGAGAGAGAGAGAGTGTGGAAGAGAGGAGAGAAGATGGAGATATGAGAGAGAGAGATTGAAGAGAGATGAGAGAGAGAGAGAGAGAGAGAGAGAGAGAGAGACGAGGAGAAGACATGGAGAGGAGAGATGAGAGAGACGCTTGGGCAAGGAGAGGAGAGAGCAAGACGTGGACAGAAAGGATGAGAGAGAGAGAGAGAGGGAGATGGCAAACAGAGAAGGAGGCTGACAGGAGGGAGATGGATGGTTAGAGATTGAGTACGGGGACTGAGCGGGGGAGATGGAGACGGAGAAGGAGGCTGCAGAGAGGTGAGTAGAGGATGGAGGACGGAGAGAGGGAGAGGGAGAGGGAGAATTAGGTGACAGAGGATGGAGACAGAGAAGTAGGTCTGAGAGAGGGATGGGATGAGATGGAGATGGAGACGGACACAGAGGCTGAGGAGCGAAGGGGAGACTGGATTGTAGCATTGGAAGATGGAGACGGAAGAGAGGAGAGAGGGAGATTGGTGACGGAGCTAGAG